ACGGCGTTCTTCGAATTCGTCGTACAGCTAGGACAACAGCCAGATGGAGGCCAGTTTGTGCTAGGAGAGATGACATGTCGGTGGGGCGAAGCGAGACTACGTCGTTGGTGGACTGAACACCGCCTTCCTTCGCCTGAAGTCTACGTGTCTCAGCTGATACGACAGCAGATCGCACTACCGAAACTATTGTCTGCATCGAGGGAGAATTTGGTGTCCTGGGACATTCGAGACCGCCACGTACGAGAGCAGATTCTGGCGCAGATTGGAAACGTGGGACGGCAGGACTTTGGATGTGCTTTGAGCGATGCTAGCACGATGAATGCGCTCGCTGTGGATGGAGGTACTCACTTGCTGCGTCTCTTATTGGGTGTTCTGGATGGGTTTCTCCATGTCTCTGTGGACGCTGTCGACGCCGGTCATCTTCACCTGGTTACTGCGTCTTTTGCTGCTCTTCGAACGCTGTTGGCGACTGCATCTGGAGTCAAGATGTTGATGAATCCGTCGCTTGGTGGAGGACAAGAAGAGTGCGTCAATTTGATTGTAAAGAGCGCCAAGAAACTGTTTGAATTGCAGGAGCGAGTGGCAGGAGAATACCCCGTTGTGTTGGCGACGCAGGAAATCTTCATGAGTGTGGTGCGCTGGTTCCTCGCGAAGGAAGCGCAAGAACTTGCCTCTAGTAGCGACGATTCAGCTGGGTTTGTTGCGATGGAGCGACTGTGGTTTGTTGGCGCGACGGAGTTTACGATCGAAGTGTTGTCCACCCACGAGAGCTGGAAGTTTGCGACTACTTTAGAGCGTTGCGAGATGAAGGAACGATGCTTCCGTCTGCTGTACGTCCTCGTGCTTCCGCGTAAGTACATCCACGAGCAGAATGACATGGTACCAGCGTTTGAAACAGCACTACGCGAGACGCTATCGACCGACATGTCGTTGCTTATGAAGCTGCTACGCTCTGCAGTTTCTCTGCTGTCATCCATGGAAAGTCAAAAGGCAGAAGACGACGAAGAATCCAACGTCGATGTGGTTCAGTATGAGTGGCTGGTGACGACGTGCTTACGGCTCGTGGCGTTGCTGGTCTCTAGCGAGAAGAACGACCAAGCAGCTCGATCGATTCTACTGTCGTCGATTGACGATGGCTCGAAGACACGCAAGTCGCTGACAATGGTCACGCTCTGTGGAGTGTATCTCGGTTATTCGCTGGACGATGCGCCTGGAATTGCGTCCTGGTCTTTGCAGATTCTACAACATGCCGCTGTGGTGCTGGACTGCCGTGTAGAGCGAGAGAGTTGCGGTGTCTCATCCATGCATTCTCTCGTTGCGCTCTTCCATGGTAGTCAAGATCTTTCTCAAGTGCGCGCCACATTCGCGCAGTTGCTACGTGTGGCCTGGTCTCCAGTGCGGAAGCAGGTGATTGAGTTGCTGACGTTGTGCTTAGAACATCAACCGGGTTTCTTGGCGTTGCTTCTCTTCGGTGGCGACAACGAGGAAGACAAAGAAGACAAAGCTGAGGGAGATCCCCTACCTTTCGTGACATTACTGGAACGTTTCTTCGAGGCGTCAGAAAAGCTCTTGGAGCAGTCCTCGGACCTCTTCTGCGCTCTACTGACGTTCCTCGTGCAAGTATGGGAAGGAGCTATCAACAGTGGTCTTGGAGTGCACTTGAGAGTCATGGAAGCTCTACGTATACGCCCCTCGTTCTGGCCGAATGTCACGCGAGCACTTAAGATCCACATGCCGTTGGAGTCGGTCGAGGAGCGCGGACTGCTGGACATGGAGCTAGCGGCCGCCACAGCGCAAGGTAGAGGAGTAGAGAGTCCATCCAGGTCGTCGGAGCTGTACATGGGACGCTCCAGTCCTTACGGATATCTAGCACGCGGTCTTATCCTCCAATTGGTGTCGTACGAATGGCACAACCAAGCGTCCAAGCAGAGCGATCACCCTCTGGTGGATGTGCTGGAGTCATTCCGCAAAGAAGGGCTGTATTCGCATTGGCTACGCACTTTCACACGTTTGGATTATTCCCCGGCACAATTGGAGCAGCACGCGTCGTCTATCCGACGTGCTTGCTCTTTGAAAACATCCACTGCGAACCTCCTGAGCGGCATACCAGTAGGCAGCATCTCAGTGTACGTTGAGGGTCTCACTTATGACGCCCATACGCTCAAGTGGCAGCTCAGCGGCGGTGGAGACTTCAAGCTCCAAACGAGTCCAGCAGATGTCCGTGCGTTGAAGCTGGTCCAGTGGAGCAATCTGCAAGCGGCGTATCTGCACGCACAGCTCTTCTCTTTGGCGAAATGGAAAGTGTTCATGGAGCTGTGTTGTCTACAGGCAGGAGCTGCGGAGACAGCTACGAGTACAGAGCAGGAGAGTCAGTCGACGCCCAGACAACGCAAGCGCAAGGAGTCGATGATCTCGTCGCCTCCACGTGGCAGCAGCAGTGCGGGAAGCTCCATGACGCTGCGTTCAACTGCGTCCAGCTCGGACGGCGCCATGTCTTCGCGCTTTTCAGGCGATCGCACGTCCTTTGGGATGATCCAAGTGCTGGCAGGTGTGATCAAGACTCGGGTGAGTCAGCACGAGACGCTCGACTACTTTGTGCTGGTGCACCTGCGTGCTCTCGTGCAGCTCTTGGTGTCGATGCTGCATCATCAGTTGTGTCTTGTTGTGCGGAAGACACGAGACCCAAAGTTGTCGCAGACTCGGCAACGTCTTGAAGACACGAACGACGCGAGTATCAAGTTTGACGCCGTGATGACGCTAGAGTTACTCGCCGTTATTGACAAGACCGCGAGTGCAGTACACGACTTGATCCGTCAAGGCAGCAATAGCAACGCAAGACTTGGTGCCGCTGAGTTGCCTGTAGTGCCGCTGGATGCTCGCCTCGTGACGGACGTTGACAGGAAGATCGAGTGCGTGACGGATGGGTTGTATACGTCGCTGTTCACGGCGGCGCTGCTGCTTGTACGTCACTTGAGCAAGGTCCATGGGCAGGCGAGTACAAGCTTTGATACTGACGCAGATATGGAGAGTCTGTCGCCGCCCAAGCCTCAGCTGCAGGTCAAGTTGATCGGCCACTGTCTGAACGTCATCCGTGTGTGCGACGCCCGGCCAGAACCTACGCAACCCACGCAAACTCTGTTCCAGTTGAGCTGGGGTCTGCTCCAGGAGATGCTGGACAGCTTGGGCAGCGTCGACTCGCTTAAGCCAAAGTTGCGGATGACGACGGCAGTGCAGCTGAACCCGTTCGTGAAGGAGCTGGAACACGATCGACAGGGCATCGGCGCGCTGTTCCACTTGCTGGTGCAGCGCTTCCGTCCTGCGTCGTACAGCCAACAAGTGACTGCGAGACAAGAAGAGGCGTGTCAAGTGCTACGCGGACTCACTGCAGTCGTGTGGCACTCTGCGAATACGGAGCTGTGTCAGCGTGTCATGCTGAAGAACAACACTCGACTGCTGTCACTGCTGGCGACGGAGCTACTGCCACACCTCCGGACGCAGATGCAGCGAGAAGAAACTGGTAGTAAACAACGTGGCTACGTGTCGTTATCGAGTGAGGATGCAGACGAGGCTATGGAAGAGAAGAGCTTGGGTCGGTCCTGGGCCCACCGCATGTGGTGTCTCGTCCTGGACTTCGTGGCTGGCTTGCTGCGTATGTCAAGCAGTACCGACGCTGATGATGCAGACGTGTGGGAGTTTATGGCGCACGCTGAAGTCCTGCTACTAGCGGCAGTCCAGCCTTCCCCCTGCCAGCGTCTGACACGCGCTCTAGTCACCGAACACCAGGCGGTTCTTCGATTCCTCAGCGCTCTCAGCGGAACTGCGTCGAGACGACAGCGCTGGCGTCAAGCGTTCCCGACGAACGTCGTTGTGTTGATGGAGCAGAGTCGCCAACTTCTGCGTCGCTCTTGTGTTCTACTGGGCAGTTCATCGGCTGAAATGACTCGCTTACGCCAGGAGAAAGCACAGAAGCAAAAGGTGAAGTCGCCCACCAAAGCCATCGTGGGATTCGGCGCGAGTCTGACGCCCAAGTCGCCGCGATCACCTCGATCTCCGTCGGCGTTTACATTCGCGCACCAGACGTTGCTACACGATCAATTGCAGGCTGTTGGGGAGACGGAGAAGCGGAGATTGACAGCGTTCCATCGAGAAATGGAGCTGGAGCTGGTGGAGACTGTGCGACTGTCGAGTCTGCTGCTGACCAAGTGGACGGCGTCGTTGACGGATCGAGACGCCGTCCTGGTGGTGGATGGCGTGCGCTATGTGGACGAGGAGCAGCTCGTCCCTCTGCTGGCGTTTAGTCCTCCCAGTGAAGCTCGCTCCATGAACAGTAGTCCAGGCTTGGGCCACTTGAGTCTCGCGATGAACTTTATGCTCGATCAGCTGCTGCCGGATGAGGAAGCACAAGCGGAAGTAACAGAGAAGACCAGGAAGGTGCTGGCGAATGGGATTGACTCGTGTGCGCTGCTGTTCCTGAAGACCTATCTGCTGCATGCGGAGCAGTACGAGCTGGCCAAACGCGATCGGGACGAGCTCAAGAACTTTTTCCGCCAGTTTATCGCCCGGCTAGCTGGAGACGAAGAGTGCACAAGCGTCGGTGTCGACGTGCAGTTGTTGGAGCACATTGGAAAGGTAAGCGGCTACGAGTTGACTGTGTTTTGCGCTATTGTACTGACGGATGTGATGCTGAGGTGGATAGATTATTGCTGGGTGAGATACGATAGTGAGGAAACAAGTGGGACGACCTAGAGCTGTACTAGTTAAAACTACTGGCCACTGGCATGTTTGATGAACGATGAAGGTAATCCACTGACTTGCTTGTGGTGAGCTGACTCGCAATACTGTTTGACGGATAATGAAACGCACAGTTCTTGTAGTGGGTGTGGGTCAGGGCTCATTAACGTAAAATACAGATACTTTCTAGACCATAAAATACTTCTGATATTACCGATAATAGTAGTTAGGAAATTAGTACAGATTATGCACAGCAAAACTCATTAAACTTATGTATCAAAATAGCTGTGTATTTGAGGAAAAACCGCCGCTCGCCAGTATGGATAGTATATAGACACTCTGCAGCTAGAGGAAGCTCATCTAGATCAACACGTCACCGCCACTTCGGCAAGAATTAGCAGTCCACGAGCTGCTGGTACAGCGAGCCCAGCTCCGTCTGCGAGAAGTCGAAGCTCTCGAGCTCCACGATCTTGATGAGCCCCTCGTTCGAGTCGTCGATGAGCGTCACGTAGACCGTGTTCGAGTCGTACGAGCGAGGAGCGAAGTTGTCGCCGCCGGGGCTCAGCACCGAGCCGTCGTAGTAGTATAAGTGCGTCGTCACCTTGTTACGAAGGGGGTTCGTCTCAATAACCTCGGCAATGTCGAGCTCGCCACAGCCGCCCACGGGGCCCATACCACGGCAGTTGCAGCCGTACTGGTTCGAGTGCATCACCTGGGCGTTGAGCATCCAGATCGCAGGCTGGTCGGGGATCAAACCCTTGGGCATCTTGACTTCGGTCACAAACGCCTTCTTACCGCCGCCCCAGCCCTTGTAGTCGTTGTCGCCCGAGAAGCCAAGACACTCGCCGTTGCATTTCTCGCCTGTCATAATGTTGATCTCCACACCCGTCGAGATACCTGGGCCACCGCCAATCTTGGTCGGGTCCGAAGCCTCCACCAGCTCACCCGAGAACACAGTGGGCTTGTCAGCCTTGTCCTTACCGTCCGCCGAAGCGTAACCCTGAGGGCCGTGCTCGTTCTGGCCAGAGTAGTCGACGTTCTTGTTGTTCATGAACGTCAAGTTCTCGACCGTGCCGTCCTTGCTCGAGTACGAGGACACACGCGGCCACGAGCCGTTGCCTCCTTCATCCGAGTACACGGCGATGTTGAAAATCTCCTGGGGACCACGGAAGATCATGCTACATGGTTCCGACATGGGTCCAACAGGGCTGTTCACCTGCACAGGCTCCTTTGTGCACGTGGCCAAGTCCGTCACGCGGTTGTACGAGCCAGGCATATTACCGGCGTTCTTGCCCTTGTACTCATACTTGGCCTTGACCTTGCCGAGGTCGGCGTAGCTCTGCACCGTTCCCTGCTGCTGCTGCTGCTGCTGCTGTTGTTGCTGCTGCTGGTCGGGGTTCTGCGTGGCACCACGCTCCTCCTCAGAAGGAGCAGCAGTCGTAGCCGCAGGAGAATACTGATCGGTCTGCTGCTGCTCCTGGTGCTGAGACTGGTCCGTGTTCTGCTGCTGCTGCTGAGCCTGATCCTTGTTCTGCTGCTGCGTCTCATCTCCACCGGCAAAGCAGAACGTCACGTCCAGTTCGGTGCCACTGGGACAGCTATGCGTCTTGGTGTTGTCCATGGGGTAGTGGTAGGCGTCAGCGCAAGCTTCCTTGTCGTCGGCAGCGCAGTAAAGAGCCGAGCACGTGCCCTTGCCAATGTTCTCCTTGGGCTCAATCGAAATAGGCACGTTGAATCCCGTCTTGCCGCCTTTCTTGCATTCCTCGTAGCTACTGCAGTAGCCAGGCATGGGCGGGATGACGCTCAGGTCGTTCCACAGAGTGCCATCGCAAGCCAGCTCCACCAGAGTCGCCGACGTTTCAGCACTGTGGCGGTACATGTGGGCGGGGCCAGTCACGTCCTCCGTGAGGGAGCTGCCAACAGGGATGTCGGCCACCTTGGAAGCGGTCGAGCCCGACTGGCTGTGATACAGCTCAATGGGGAACGAGCACTTGTTGATGAAGTTAATGGTCTCAGCTGTGGCCACCGCCGCGTACAGGCACGCAGCCAGAGCGATCTTTGCGGGCATCGCCACCTTGACCATCTTGTCGAGGATCTGTGAAGAAGTGGGAGTGTCTCTAAAGTAGAGAAGCAGTCAGGCAGACAGTTGGTGCCAGCGAGCAGATTGCAGAATGATCCTGGCCGGAGACGAGCACACAGATATTTTACCCACGAGCCGCAGCAGTTAGACAGGCGAGGATTGCGGTAACGGTTGCACATTGGACTGACTCGCAAGGAGTCAGAGGAGGCGATGGGACAAAATTGACATCAGTGCTACAATATTTTATCTTGTCATATTTAATAAAATGGCTGATACTTCTTCGTCTCGCTCATTAGAAATGAATCGGCTTGCTTTATGTTCACATACCCCGTCCAAACCAGCATTACTATCGATTTGCTGTACGAACGACATCCTTACAACTTTACGACGTGAAAAAGAGCTGCGATTCGAACAGTCTTGGCGCAGATTGTGAAGCCGTGTACAGTACGGAAGACCCTGAATTTAAAAGAGTTTTAAACGTCCAGAGAGATCTGCTCGAACGGCGAGAGGTTGTGGCGTGCGCGTGCGTGCGATACCAGCTGGGCCGCGTGAGCAAAAGCACGCGTATTTGAAGGCTTCACTTGCAGCCGCGAACGGTGGCGTCATGAAGCCCGCTGGCAGCCGACGTCAAAGCTCTACGGCAGCATCGTCCGCCCCCAGGAGCGGACTTCCAACGCGAAAAACGCCATCGAGATGGCTCCAGACCGATCCTGCTTTTAGATTCTGCCACATTGCAGTCTCGCATGCCGCGAAAACGCTAAATTTGCATGATTTGGAGATATATTCATGGGACTGTCCTCATGGAAGTTATCTTTGAAGGCCAAGTGCGCCTCGCGCCATGGCACACATGACCATTTGATCCCACAAATGTTCCAAGGAATTCTTGGAGAAGTTTGGAAACGGGAGCTCTCGGACATCTGCTTCGACGGCAGCGATGTCTGGACCAACAAAAGCCCCCTCTGTTCTGTCTTTCACGGAAATCCTGTATTGTATTTGCGGGTGAAACCATGATATTATAATACCGGTATCGAGCTAAATCTGCTCTTTGAGGTATCTAGGAATACACTTCGGAATACAGTAGAATAGAGTGATGACGGGCTACTGCTAGCCACACATATTGCAGTGCCGATCGCACCCTGCTGGATACCGTGTACATGTAGGTAAAGGCGTTTCCAGGAAACGCCTTCCTGGCAGGAAGTTCCTGCTGCGTTGATTGCCATGGAGCTCGACGTAAGCATAACAGGCAGGGGTCAACGCGAGCTCGATCGATGAGTCTCTCGGTGGAGCATCAATGGCGGTGATTAGAACCAGCCGGTGATTTTTAATCACTGCTCGCAGCAGAGACTTCTGCTCAAACTTCGAACCATCGAGATGCCCAAGGACATCGCGATGCGCAATGCAGAAATCAGTCACTTACTGTAAGGAGCATGCACTTCATGATGAAGGTTCATCGTCAACCGGGCCGTGTGACAAAGTCGTCGTCGTATTGTACATAACATCGCACTGGCGGGCGGTCCGGTGGTTCAGAGGCAACCGTCCTTCCCTTCCGCCTGCGAATCGTTCACCTACATGGTGTTGTTGTCAGACATGCAGCTAAAGCTGGACCCGGGTACATGTTCGACGGTCTGGTGCTCGATTTGCCGCGCGCTATTTCTAGGCAACGGGCGCAAGTATTTGACTGCTCCGAAGAGCTTTGGATCTAAATGCAAACCATGAGTTGCTCCTCAACGCTAGACCCTCGATCAAATTCAGGTCTACGAGACATCCACCGGCTGATCAACGAATGTCGTGAAGTGCTCCAGGCGGACCCGTCCTGTCTGCATACGCGTGCAGTGCGGGGCCACGCCTGCATGAAAGCCAAGCTGTGGGATCAAGCAGTGCACGACTTCTCAGAAATTCTGCGCTGTCGACCAGACGACGTCCACGGGCGCTTCAGTCGCGGCATGGCGCTCTTCAAGAGTGGCCGGGTAGATGACGCACACAGCGACTTCTCACGCGTCCTCGAGTTGAATCCGAACCACGTTATGGCTCGTTACGCTCGGTAGGTACAAATAAGTACTTGGAAGTGAGAATCACTAACATCCTTCGATAGTGCTGGCTGCTACAACTCCGAAGGGGAAATCAACCAAGCAATTCAAGAGTACATGCTAGCTCTCCAACATGATGAGAAGGAAAACGCCAGAGGCTTTCGATCTGAGAAGCGACGGATAGGAATGCACGAATGTGCAGAACACCTTATTCGGAAGACGATGGGAGGCTCGACACGCTCACGTAGAGCGAATTCAGAGCCCCCACTCGATATTGCTAGCGACAACGACCGCAAGTCATCACGTTCCGTGTCGGAAGTTGCGATCAATTACTCTACCATGCCAGAGCAACAATCTAGCGCTCAACCTACGCAAGACGCGCGATCATCATCCGCGTCAGCTCCTGCAAAAAGGCCGAGGAAGGTAGTGCAGGTTCGTGTGAATCTGAGCGATCTCTCAGCAGCCCCTCAAAGTAGTACCCAGTTGAAACCAGCACCTCCGCAAAAGCTACAGAAGGAAGTCGAACCAGCTACTACCTCACATTTGGATGCTCCTAAAATCTGTTGTGCTAACAACCAGATTCAGACGGAAACTTCTCGAGACGTAGCTGTTCGTGCATTACCAAAGACGGTTCGTAGGGTCACAGTTGCGTTGTAAGCAAAGGGGTAGAAGGGTTAAGAGCTATCGTTTTCTGTCCACGTGAGCACCTACTTAGCTCACGTCACATAACGTGATCGATCTTATCTCCTTAGATCTTCTTCGGGTCCAGCGCCTGCGTCAACACTGCGATGAAGTCTTCGTAGTAAATTCGTCCAGTCGAAGGGTCTTTCGCCGCTGCAAAAAACGCTGCAAAAAGGAAGTTGGTACTAGTTTAATAAGGACATGACAATCCGGTACAGCACCATACCTTCCATCTCCTTCTCTCGAAAAGGAGTGCCTTTTGTAGTGATCAGCTCTCGCATAACCTCCGCCTCTATGTAACCTTTCTTTTCCGTGTCGATTACCTACTCAAAAGATTTCGTAAGCGCACTATTATATCGATTATCTCGATCCCTCCAAAAGGTAGCTTCTTACCCGGAACGCGGCCAGCAGCGTCTCATCTGTGTCTGGGTCGTACTCGTTGGTATACAGCACTTCCAGCATTTTCTTCTCGAAGCGGTCGTACGTCACAAAAGTGGATGGTTCGTCCTCTTGCATCTATGTAAAGGAGAACACCAACGACAGCAAGAAATTAAGACGAGCAGCGTTAAACACAACTCCGTCTGCGTACTGTACTTCCGGGAGGATCTTCTTGATGATATCCTTCTCGGTCGGGTAAGCACCGAGGTACCGCATGATCGTACTCACTTCTCTTCAAAGACAAATAGCGAAACGTTATTACCGCTACTGCGTGCAGTCAGACAGCGAACACTAACTCTTGAATGACGCGTCCTTTTTTCTCCTTGTCGAACATGTCGAAGGCAGCCCGGATACGCACCTTCCGTGCTGCCTCATCGTCGGCTGGTACGCGCTGGTTGCTCCCATTTGCTGCGGTCGACATTGGCTTCCTAGGTGCAAACAACTGAGCAACATCGACGCGAAACTCCCGTCCTTTTAAAACTTACTCAACTCAGTTCAACTTAGTTTCTTGGCAGTATTTTGGTAGGCTTTTAAAAATCTACAAGTACCGGGAAAGACCTACTGACGGTTGTCAATAATCTCTTATTAGATCATAAATATATTTATTTCAATGATCTCACGAATGTAATAAGTAATTTATTTCCTAAAATACCAATTCACCATAATTTATGAGCAAAATTCTTACTTTCCACGGCAAGCCACGGTATTTCATTGAGAATTAACGCACAAACGCTAGGCTCACTCTTCATTTCGGGAAAAAGTAGGTAAAATGGTGTTATTACCACACGGAAACGAAGTGATTTCAACGTGCTGAGCTTTTTTTAAATGATGTTGAGTCGCTCTACATTATGCCCTTATTTATTGTTCGATCACTGTACATGCCATAATGTATGTATCGGTGCTAGCTGCCCAATGTCATAAGTTATGCTTTTGAAGGGCTTCCGAAATAACAGTGTCCAAATCGGGAGCCCTGAATCATAGTACGTCCTGCTGAGGGACTGGTGCTCCATTGAAGAAAATGCCCGTTTTGAGCCTACGCGTCGCGGGTTTCGGGATAAAGCTCAAGGAGCTGCGGTGTCTGTTGAAGTAGGGAGGTCCGGACCAGAGATCTGCGGACGATAGGCGCCGAGCAGCGTAAGCACCTGAAAGGCAAGACATAGGTTAGTAGGGATAAGGAATCTAATCTCACTCTCTCTTTTGCGTAGTTAACCACAAGTGCGCCAGAAGTGCAGCCCGTCCGAAAACAGGGCTTCAACAGGTCTTGAGCCCAAATGACCAGATCCACAGATGAGGCCATCGGCGATGGCGCGCCAGCGCCGACGTCGACAGTGCCCTTTGCCAGTCGCGAAAGGACCGGCATGGCCGACGACACAGAAGAGATGAGCACCGCCGTGGCCCACGAAAGGGGTAGCGGCAACAACGCCGACGCTAATGCGCCGGCGACCGGGGGAACCGCCGCAGAGCTGATGACGCTCTTGCGGGGCGTAGCGGGACAGCTGGAGCGGCTTGAGGAGTCGCAGACCAAGCTGAAAGAGTCGCATGAGAAGCTTGAGAAGCAGTTGGACGATCAAGATGCAAGGCGTGCGCGCCTGAATCGCCCTTCGACACCACCCATGAACTCCAGTCTGTTTGCGTCTGGACTCGGCCGCGGAACAAGAATGCATATCGACTCGTTAGGTGCGTCGCCACAGACGCCGCTCACAGTGATGCCGCGTAGGCCAGCTGCTGCACCACAGTACTTCGGACACCAGCAACCTGGCTACGGCATGCCAATGTCTGAGTTGCAGCGCCTGTACGCCGCAGCGCACGGAGCGCAGCCGGCAGCACCAGCACCAGCACCAGCGCCACCACGAGATGGTCGGGCACAGGCTGGAGGCGAGCATTTTCAGCAGCAGAACCAAGGAGTCCGCTACTCGGACGCGCGACAGAAGAAGCTAGCGATTCGGCCATTCGACGGCAAGGAGTTGTACGTGGGGCTCGGATCTGGATTCCTCGAGTGGGGTCGACGCTTCGAGGGACAAGCTGCGTTGGCGCAGCTGACATGTGGGTTCGCGTGGCCGGAAGATGTGAAGGTGGATCGGCTAGGGCATTACTTAGCGGGGACTGCAGAAAGGTACTATAACAAGCAAGTAGATGCCTGGTGGACACAACTGCCCACACTGCAATACGTCATGGAGAGGATGCTTGAGACGTTCAAGACCAACATCACCCCCGCGCAAGCAATGAAGTTGCTCACTGCGCCGAAGGAAGGCAAGAGATCGTGGCCCGAACACTATATGTACTTGGTCGCCGTATCAGAGGCATGCGGTGGCGGGGCAGACTACCTTGTGTTGAACAACATCGTGCAGTACGCGTCCGCGGACTTGCGTACAATGCTAATGGCCAAGATAGATGGGACAAGAGCGGACTACTTGCAGCAGACTGAGGAGTTGGCACACTTCGCGCAAGCCTGGGAATTAGAACCTGCTAAGCACAAGAATTTCGGCAGAGAAGTCGTGGGCGCCGTGACGCTCACCCACGGCCCAATTCTAATAAGAACAAAACCTGTTATTAAACCCGGAAAGTTAGACATCAGGGAGCAGAAAGAACAGAGCGGACGCGAGGGGGCGGCAGGAAGCCCGACCTCACGCTGTCTGTAGGAGAGACGTCGGACGAGTCCGACGTGATGTGGATCTTGAAGAGCGGGTCCAGTCGGCACTTCGTGAGCGATGCGTCGTGGCTGGATGACGTTGAGGAGTACTTGGACGAGTATGTACAGCCAGACGGAAATCCACTCAAGATCAGTAAGAAAGGGACTCTCACGCTGCGCGTCATGGCGAGCGGGACGGAGCAGATCGTGAAGCTCATGGACGGGCATTACGCCGAGAACGTTGTGCACAACTTGATCTCCTACGGCCAACTTGACAAGAAGGGGTATACGCTGACATACCGAGACGGACGACGCGTCGTTGCTGGTGTAGACGGAGGGAGAGTAGCTTTTGACGTGGATCTGCGGCATGGCGTGCTAGTCGTGCCTGCCGTCGTAGAGCGAAAAGGAGGAGCCCCGTCGGGAGTAATCATGGCGGCTCTTGATCAGGCTGAGGCTGAGACCGAAATAGGGTCGGATGACGTGCAGAAGGACACGTTGGTGGAGTTCCACAAGAGGTTTGGACACTTAAGCTACGACGCAGTTGAGAAACTTGCACGGGACCCAAGCTCGGGCATCGTCATCACGGACTACCGCCGCGTCAACTGCTTAACCTGCGCGCAGGGGAAACAGACAAAGAACCGGCAGTCGCAAAAGATAATGGGGGACCACTCGCCGATCGATCGAGTTGGTGGAGTAATCTGCTCGAACTTGAAGGGTCCGATGACGCCGCGAGATCGTCTCAATAACCGCTACATGATAAACTTCGTCGATCATAAGAGCAATTACTGCAGAGTGTTCCTGGCGCGAACGAGATGCTGCCGCCAAGTAGTTCGAACACTTCCTCACGTTCTTTGAGAAGCGTTTCGACTGCAGGATTCATGTACTGAGGACGGACTCGGGTGGAGAGTACCAAAACGTAGACTTATTCTGCAAGAAGACCGGCGTAGTGCGTCAGCGGAGCGAGGCCAGAAATCAAGCCAGCAATGGGAAGGCTGAGCGCATGCATCGGACCATAATGAACATGGCAAGGTGCATGATCTTCGCCTGTGGACTGCCAATAAACTTTTGGGGGGATGCTGTACAGTACGCGGACTACATTCTGAACAGGTCGCCGACTAACTCGAACACGGGCAGAGCTTCGCCGCTGAAGATACTTACGAAGCAGACACCGGCACTAGGCGAGATCGTCGTTTTTGGCTCCCCGTGTACTGTGTATAGAGACCCCCGGAACAAAAATTTCTCGCAGCGTGCTCAGCACGGCATGATCGTCGGGATTGGAGAAGAAACGAAGGGATACAGAGTTTACCTGCCAAAGGACCGCGTGGTAGTCACAACACAACACGTGAAGAACATTGAGACGCTTAACAAGACCCAGAGCGAGCAAGTGCAGCGGCTGTACCTGCAGGATGATGACAGTGCTGTTGTAAACGAGTCCACGGGTGGATCTGCGAGCGCCGCTGACGCGGCCACCACTGAGAGCGCGTCGGCCGGGAGCAGACGCGGGAAAAAGGGAAAGAAGCGATCCAAGCAGAAGAAAACCTGGCAGCGAGAACGTCACGAGACACGTACGGTCGCAAGAAAGGCTGCGGAGAACACGGACGAGTCCGTGCAGCAGGAGGAGCAAGAAACCAGAGTGGTAAACAATGTGATGGAGGTAGATCCGAGGAACTACCGAGAGGCAATGCGCAGCCAGTGGCGTGAGAAATGGATGAAAGCCATGAAAGAGGAGCTCAAAGCACTCGAGGAAAATGGAGTGTGGAAGGTCACGCGGCTACCCAGTGGGGCGCGTGCACTGCATACAAAATGGGTTTTTAAGACGAAAAGAGATGCTGCAGGATTCATCGAACGGCTGAAGGCGCGGCTCGTGGCCTGCGGGAATGAGCAAGAGTTTGGTGTGAACTATGGAATCACCTTTGCCGCGGTGATCGACATGTGCAGTGTGAAGCTCATCCTGTGCTTGGCCAGGAAGTGGAGAGTCCCAGCAAGACACGGGGATGTACCAAACGCCTACGTCAAGGCGGAGAAGGAGCCGGAACTGGACATCTACATTCGGCTGCCGCAGGGAATGGTCATATCGGAGGAAATTAAGAAGCAGCTGAGCGCCACGAGTGACGACGAGCTGGTCCTCGAGCTGAAGAAAGCGCTGTATGGACTAAAGCAGGCTGGGCGACTCTGGAGCAAACTGCTCCACCAGAAGCTGGTAGATTTGGGATTCGAACAGAGCCTGACGGACATGTGCGTCTACTATCGACGGAAGCAAAGAGTGCTGGTCGTCGTAGGCATCTATGTGGACGACCTGCTGATCACCGGCACGGACCAAGACGCGGTGAGCGCGCTCTTTGGTGAGTTATCGGATCTGTCTGTGAAGGACCTGGGAGTGGTGAGCAAGTTCTTAGGGACGCGCGTCACGTATGATGACGAGAACGGATACGATTTAGATCAGGAGGTTGCGATCACTGACATCCTGAATGAGTACCAGATGGAGGCGGCGCGCCCGGTGCGCACGCCCATTGGCTTGGAGTGGAATGACCTGCCGTTGGATGCGGGCGAGACCTTGCCGTTGTCAGGAGACGGTGGCGTAGTGACTGTTGCGAAGTTTCAGTCTTTGGTCGGAAGTTTTGATGTGGGTGGCGCGTTGCACGCGGCCCAACATTGCGTTCGCTGTGCACAAGGCGTCTCGCCGGACACACAGCCCGACGATGGCAGACTGGAGGCTGGCAAAGCGCATAGGCAGGTACTTGTCGGGAACGAAGGACCTGTGTCTGCAGATGAAGGGAGACAGGAGTTCGGAG